CGCAAAAAGTGTCGGCGATTCCTTTAAGTGTCGGCAAAAGTTTCACCGACAGCTTATAGCACGACTGTTTCTAAACTGTCGGGGAAACTTTTGGCGGGAGGTTAAGTGTCGGCAAAGGTGCCCTTTGCAGACAGTAGAAAGTGTCGGCAAAGGTACATCGTGTTATAGTGGGTCTTTCCCGTCCCGCTAGGTCCATCCACAAAGAACAACCCGCCTTGTTTGCTGTAGACAGTGGCCATTATCTCATCGTAGGCAGACCTTTGCTCGGCGTTGACTGGGTCACACAATAGCACATCTTGGGGATTCTGCTCGATGCTAGCTTCCTCAAATATATCACGAGGAATATGGCTGACATTATTGTCGTATGTGTGATATGGAAGAGGAAATGACCTAGGCTACTAGAACTCGACGAACCGGCCTAGCCAGTTTGGCTGCGATGTGGAAATGGCCTAGCAGGCCTTTGCTGAGCCACCACCGCTTCGTCATGCTGGCGCTTGTTTAAATACTTGGTTGAGCTTGCTGAGATCTTGAGTTGATTTTTGCCATCCTCATTCTTCTCAAGAACCACTTTGCGCCCCACAACCTTCTCAACTCTTGGCAATTCCCGAGGCTCGCCGATTATCACATTTTTGCCTTGGGTTGAATCGGCTTGCTCCGGGCGAATCAAAACAGCAGGCTCCCCTTTTTCAACCATATGCATTGGAAAAGGAAACTTATCAACTTGCATCTCAGTAAGACTCAATCGTCCCTTGTGGACCTGCCGACAGAAAACATTGCAATCATTAGTGGCATGAGAAAAAGAATTATGATATTTGCAATAAGCTTTCCTTTTCAATTCCTCAGGTGATGGCAATGTATGAGTAATTCTAATATAACTGAATTTAAGTAATTCATCAAAGATTCGGTCACATTTAGAGAAATCAAAAGTAAACTTCACTTGTTCATTCTGATTCTTATGAATCGGCTTGAGAGAAGGACATGCAACTAATTTATTTTTAGCTGGCCATCTAATTTTAGTAGCATAACATTCTTTATTTTCATTGTCTGCACCATTGGAATATCCATCTATAACATGCACATTCGGATGATGTGACCTATAAGCATCATGGGACTCTTTGAGGCGTGATTCAACTGAAACAACCTTTTGTAACAATTGATTAACATTAACAAACTCATAATGCTCAAGTTTCTCTCTAATGTTAGGACGCAGGCCAACAAAATATAAATCAGTCAAGTCTCTTTCAGACATCATTAAATGAAAGCATCGGTTCTTGATTTCTCTAAATCGTTTGAAAAAAAATCAAGGACGGGCTCATCACGCCCTTGACGATCCGATGTGAGATGAGACAATCTAGTTTCATGAGCACTATTATAAAAGTGATTATGAAAATTTTCTTCTAACTCAGCCCATGAACCAATAGAGCAAGATGGTAATGAAGTAAACCAAGCAAAAGCTGTACCGGTAAGAGACAAAGGAAAATGACAAACTTTCATAAATTCTAAGGTACTAGCTTCACCCATTTGTGCAAGAAACATGCTAATATGCTAAATAGTTTGACTTACTATCATCACCACTAAATTTATGAAAATCTGGTACCCTCCAACCAGCACTTTCATAAAATCAAAAGTAGAAGGGTACGGCCTATGATATGTATTCCTATTGGGCTTAATTTGCACACCCAAACTGCCTTCAAGAGATTTAGTTAAATCTTCTATAAACCGATTCAAAGCTTCATTAAAATTGGCTGTGGAAGCATTAGGAGCAACATTAAATGTAGGAATTTGGCTAGGTGACATCGGTGGGTTAGGTAAAACCGTGTTATCCCCGAAGTTCTATTTGCTGATGCCCCATGATCGGTTCGAAGAATATGACCCGAATTTTGGGCAGCGGAGACTGTATGTGCTGATGTACTAGCCTCATGACAACCAGCGTTTCAGACGCCGAAAGGGCCGATTGAAGCTTGCTGGCTGCAGAGTGAGAAGTTTGATTATTATAAAAATTTAAGGGCATACCAAATTGGGGTTGTTGTACACCCGATTGATCACAATGGATTGCCTTGCCCTCTAGCTTATCCAAACGATTACTAAGCAAGCTAAATGAATACTGAATAGTATTTGTAAGCGTATTCCTTGTATCATTTAGCATTGTAGCATAATTTGCATGAGTTGGATAAGGATCATGGGTTCTTACCTCTTCATCATACCTAGCCTTTTCATTGGCTTTATCTTCTGGTGTGGGTGCAGATGATGATGAAGGAAGTAAACCACTGAAATCCGGCTATTTGTATTGGGTAACCTTGTCCTACTGATCTTTAACGCAGCTCTCAAGAAAAGCTTTTAGAACGGCGTTGAACTTGGCTTCCACTTGTTGCTTTAACTCCTCGGGAAGCTCTTCAACGGACTCGGGGTGATTGATGTTGGCTTGATTGAAGGAATCTGTCCTGTCACCCTTGTCACCATCATCACCTTTGCTCCCCATGTCGCTAGTGGATCGAATCTTGGCTTGCTTGTTCTTACCCAGCATAGTCACCAAAAAGTGCGTTGACATCGGATGTGATCCCAATCATACACCAGCAGGGCTAGAACGCCCAGGGGGTTGCAAATCAACCCACAACCAGCAAGAACATGAGCGAACCGACGAAACCAATCTAGAGACCGGTTAGGCCGATTTTGGGCTCGTTCCTTGCGTAGAAAAACTCCCGAACATCTCCCGGGATGACCCGTTGGGGAGGAGCACGTGGAGGGTGTCCTATGACCAGCAAGGCCGTCTAGAACACCATTAAATCTCGCCGGGAGACGTGATGAACAGCAAGGCAGAGAGAGGATAGTGTAAAAGGGTTTGTAGATGTGTTTTTTGACCATTAAGGGTTGGATCCTTCAATCAGCCGTGATCCTCTCATATATATAGAGCGGGTGATCTTATCCTAATAGGAAACAACTTCAGATCGTAATCTTCAAGTTTTCTATTAAAAATCTCATCCAAATCCTGGTCAAAAAGAGTTTCCAAACCGGCTAGGCCGGTTGGGCAGCACACGCATAGCAGGCAAGCTGCTTGGCCGGTTGGTGAACCAGCTGAGCCGATCGTTCATCAAAGAAGCAGGCATCAGCAGCAGGCAAGGAAGAAAGGTGCGGCAGCAACAGGCCTGGCCAACAGGCTGGCCGCTCGTCCAGCAGACCAGCAGCAGAGCGTGCAGCACAGGGAAGCAAGAGGCCAGCACCATGTTGACCAACAGCAACACGATAACTGGCTTTGGCCTGCCCAACAGCTAGCCTGGACAATCGGCAAGGAGTGCACGGCAATAGGCAACCAACCAGCCTAGCTGGTCAGGCATAGGAACCAACCGGCCTGGCTGGTTTCCCAACCGGCCAGTTCGGTTTGGCAGGAAACGTTGCCGATTTCCTTCTTTCTTTCTCCGGATTTTTGACACAATATTCCAAATATATTTTTGTGACCATATTAATTCCAGAAATATTGTTTAAAAGTTATTTCATGCTTCCAAATTAATTTTAGTCGTCAACAAGAACCAAAGCCATCGCAGTTGCAGTGCTCTACTGAATCTCTCTAGTTCCAGAACTCCCAGCCCTCCAAATTCAATTGGCTTAGCTACTAGAGGCTAAGCCACTTTGCACTAAGACTGTCTCCAACGGCGTGACCCAAACGCAAAAATGCGCCATGCACAGTGTTTTGGGTAACCAAAACCGTCCTCCAACGGAAGACCGAAACCAGATACCCATTCTGGGTACTCGGCGAGTCGGAAGGCATTTCTGCGTCTTCGAAGAGAGACGACGCAAACATGTAGTGGTGGGCCCGTAGGAGCCGTCGGGGCAGGGCGCGGCCGGCTCGACTCGGCGAGGCGGGTCCGCGGCGGAGCGCGGCCGGCAGGGCGAGGCGGGCTCGAGGCGAGGAGCACCCGGAGCGGCGCGGCGTGGCGAGGCGGATTCGGGGAGGAGTGGAGTGGAGGAGGCGGGCCGCCGCGGGAGGAGTTGACGAAGGAGAGAGCACCGGGGGTCCGCCGCCGGGCGCGAGCTCGGGGGAGCCGCCGCCACGCGGGAGCTTGGGGAGCCACCGTCGCTTGGATCCGGCGGGCCACCGCCGCGCGCGCCTGGATCTCGCCGGCCGCGAGTCAAGAGCTTGCCGACGGGGCCTCTGCTCGGCGGGGAGGGAGGGAGAGGCTCGGCACCTGGTGGGGAAGGAGGCGGGCGGGCGGCGGCGCATGCAGGGAGGCGCGGGATCTGCGGCCGGTGAGGAGCGAGGAAGAGAGAGAGAGGGCAAGGGGAGATCGGGAGGAAGAGGGAGGGAGGGGAAGAGAAGTGATGAGGGGGGAGAGAGAGGAGAGGAGATATTTTTACCGGTGTACAGTGATTTGGGTCGTCTGTTGGGGAAGCTGAACTTTGGGTGCGGATCATTTTTACTGTGCAGGACCCAAACAAGCGAATGGGTGCTGTGTTTGGGTTGCGTTGGAGACAGTCTAACCGCCCGATATTTCACTATCACCGGCCCAAAGGAAGCGACGATATGCTTTGTCTGTGTCTTCAGTGAGTTGTTTTGGGACCTTGAGAGCGGACAAATTAAAAGATAGATTGTGATGGTGCTAAGAACTGAGCGTACTAGTTCGCGTCCAGCTGCATTTAGGAGCCGGCCTTGCCATCCCGCTAGCTTCGCCCTTGTTTTGTCAATAAATAATATTTCTGGACGTGCATTAGCTTCATTCGGCCCAATGTGAGGGGCGGCCCCAGGTAATGGACCGGAAAGGAAACCCGTTGACCTGCAAAGGATTCCAGGTATTGATATTTTTCACGTGTCCCATTATAGGCATATAATTTGCCAACTACTTAGTACTCTATATAAAAAAAAAACTACTTAGTACTCTATATATCACCGATCGAGCTGCTAGTGATCACAACCACAACACGACCTTGTACTAAGTATCTAAACAGCCAAACACGATGTACAAGCCGACGGGAAACCAAGCCGAGGATCGGAGCTCCACCGCGCCGCCATGGCTCAGGCTGTCGGCAGCGCCGATGCCACCACTGAGGCGCCACTCCTGCTCTCGTCGATGGCGGGGACGCCGCTGCCGCTGCTAGCAGGTGCACCGCGCCGGAACAGGTTCGCCTTCGTCTGCGCCACGCTCGCCTCCGTCGCCACCATGCTACATGGCTATAGTACGTACGTACGTCGAGTTACCACCATCCATGGAGGCATTTTACTACATCACGAAGAGGTGCTAGCTCATGCATGCTTCCGATCCGTACGTGTTTTGCAGGCCTGACGCTGATGAGCGGCGCGGAGCTGTTCATGCGGGAGGACGTGGGGCTCACCGACGCCGAGGTCGAGGTGCTGGCCGGGGTCCATGAACGTCTTCATGCTCGCGTCCATCCTCGCCGCCGGCTGGGTGGCCGACCATTCGCCGCGCTCATGGCGGCGCGCTTCGTCACCAGCGTCGGCTCCGGGTTCGCCCCCGTCGTCGCCCCCGTGTACAACGCCGAGATATCGCCGCCATCCACGCGTGGCGTCCTCTCATCCATGCTTGACGTACGTATGCGTTTTGGATACATGCATGCTGGTTGATTCGAAGCTCGCTTTAATTTCGTCGTCTTTATATTAATTAAAGATGAAGACGTTCATCGACGTATACGTGCAGATGTTCATCAACGTCGGCATCCTGCTCAGCTAAGTGTCCAACTACGCGTTCTCCGGCCTGCCGGTGCACCTCGGGTGGCGTGCCATGTACGGGATCGGCGTCATCCCGCCCATGTTTATCGCCGGCGGCGGCGGCGCGCTTGTGGCATGTCTATGTCGTTTTGTCGGCTTCTCAATTAAGATGAAATTTTTTTAACCATATAAGTTGAGTCAACGTTCAGTCAAAATCCTATATGGTATTAAACCATACGACGCTTAATGTTACGTACCATAGAGTTTTATTTGATTTATTAAATACTATACGGGCCAAGCCCATAATATATCCAACAATCCCCACCAAACTTTAGGGTTTGTAACAAAGTAGTCTCAGAACTACATTTCTTTTATATACCATTGTTTTGATGGAGACTGTTAAGTTGAACATCCATCTAAAGCAATAGTTTCACTCAGTCACAACTGAACAATGAACTAAGCCTTGAATTGACAGTTTTGTATGAGGTGAATGTCACTAAAGTCCTTAGCTGATACTTGGCTGCAAAAGACATCCCCTCTATTTGAAGCATATAAGTCATACTCCAGTGCCTTTCATGAGTATTTAGAGATCACCTAAATCTCATAGACTGTGACCAGCAATCTAACTCATATAAGTGTGCTCCTCAAAAGATGTTCTGTAGGACAACATCTTTGCTTTAGCAAGCCACTTGGAACATATTAAGGTAAAAACCAACATGCCTTACAAAAAGAAAAGATATGCATCAGAAATGAGTCTTACTAAGGGTCTTTCCTCACAATTTAGTACTACCTTGTTTCACCATCCTACTTCACGGGATCTCCGATCACATAGACCAGGTTACCACTATAGTAAATTTCAAGTGGGTCTTAAATCCATCTCTCTCGATGCATTTTCTATCACATTGCCTGACAGACCCTTAGTGAATTGATCTGCCATATTGTTAGACGTGTGAACATAGTCCAACGCTATTACTCTGGAGTTTCTCAATTTTCTGATAGATTTTAGTCGTCTCTTAATATGCCTTGTGGACTTTATGTTATCCTTAGAACTATTAACCTTCATAATCACAGTCTGGTTATCACAGTTCATAGAAATAGCCGGTATGGGTTTTCAACAACCGGTAAATCCATAAGGAGACCACGAAGCCACTCAGCCTCAGAGCCAGCGGTGTCTAATGCTGTGAGTTCTGCTTCCATTGTAGACTTCGTTAAGAAGTCTGCTTGTAAGACTTTCAGGAAACAACACCACCTCCAAGCGAAAACACATATCCACTTATGACATAAAGTTCATCAGCATCAGAGATCCAGTTGGCATCACAATAGCCTTCCAACACCTTCGGGTGTCTAGTATAACGAATATCACAGCTCATAGTGCCCTTTAGATAGCGCATCACTCTCTCAAAAGCACGCCAGTGATCATCTCCCGGGTTTGACACAGACCGGCTCAGCTTGCACACAACAAATGAGATGCCAGGCCTTGTTGCACTAGCAAGATACTTGACCGAACCAATGATCCGAGAATATCTCATCTGATCCCTTGTTATTCTCCAATTTTTCCTCAATAGCACACAAGGGTCATAAGGTGTAGGAGCAGGTGCACAGTCACTAAACCCAAAGCGACTCAGCACCTTTTTCCACATATTGGGATTGTAACAGAGTTACCCCACCATCACCTTCTCTTAGAAGCTTGATATTAAGAATAACATCAGCCTCTCCCAAATCTTTCATCTTAAAAATATTAGATAGAAATTCCTGCACCTCGTCAATCACTTCGAGGCTGGATCCAAAGATCAGTATGTCATCAACATATAAGCACAGAATAACTTCTTCACCCCCACATACCGATAGTACACACATTTGTCAGCTTTATTCACAACAAAGCCAGTAGATGTTAGTGTTCTATCGAACTTTTCATGCCACTGCTTAGGAGCTTGTTTTAGGCCATATAATGACTTTCATAATTTACACACCTTGCCTTCTTGACCATTTGCTACAAACCCATCCGACTGATCTATATAGATCTCCTCCTCTAACTCTCCATTTAGGAAAGCTGTCTTAACGTCCATTTGATGAACGATGAGATCATAAGAGGCTATCAGGGAAAGCAAAACTCGAATTGTGGTCAATCGGGCAACCGGTGAATAAGTATCAAAGAAATCCTCACCTTCCTTTTGAGTATTTTTCTTGGCCACAAGCCTTGCCTTGTAACTCTCGATAGTACTATCAGGCCTAAGCTTTTTCTTGAACACCCATTTGCACCCTATAGGCTTGCACCTATAGGGACGATCAACTATTTCCCAAGTTCCATTAGACATAACAGAATCCATCTCACTTCGTACTGCTTCCTTCCATAAGTCAGCATTAGGAGAGAAATATGCCTCTTCAATGGTCGTTGGTGTGTCATCCACAAGGTACATAATATAGTCATCACCAAAAGACTTTGCAGTCCTCTATCTCTTACTTTTTCTTGTGACTATAATGTCATCCTCCTCAGGATTTTGCATATAGGGTTCCTCAGTTTGTTCTATTAGAGTAAAATTTTCATCTCATAGGGAATTATAAATTCATGATCAGTCGTGCTAGGTGCATTTTTCATGGGAAACTCATTCTCAAAAAATGTAGTGTCTCTAGATTCCATGATTGTATCAACAGCCATCTCAGGAACACTAAAATTTATAATTAAAAATCTATAACCCACGCTGTGAATAACATAACCAAGAAAAACACAATCAACAGTCTTTGGTCCAAGCTTTCGCTTTTTGTTTATTGGCACATTCACCTTTGCCAAACAACCCCAAGTTCGCAGGTAAGAGAGATTTAATCTCTTCTTCTCCCATTCCTCGAATGGTGTAATTTCTTTGTTCTTTATGGGCACTCTATTCAGGACATGACACGCTGTCAATATAGCCTCACCCCACCCTTCCTTAGATAGTCCCGCAGTCTCTAACATGGCATTAACCAAATCAGTTAGAGTGCGGTTCTTTCTCTCTGCAATCCCATTGGACTATGGTGAGTATGGTGGCATCCTTTCATGAATAATTCCATGCACCGCGCAAAACTCAGAAAATTCATTTGAGAAATATTCTCCCCCGCGATCGGACCGCAAACGCTTGATTTTCTTCTCAAATTGATTTTCTACCTTAGCTTTATAGACTTTAAAATAATGCAACGCTTCATCTTTAGTTTTCAATAAATACACGTAGCAAAATCTAATACAATCATCTATAAATGTCATGAAGTATCGTCTACCGCCTTTAGTTAATTCACCATTCATTTCGCATAAATTAGAATGAACGAGTTCTAATGGTGCCAAGTTCCTCGCCTCAGCAGCTTTGTGAGGCTTGCGCGGTTGCTTCGATTGCATGCACACTTGGCACTTAGAATCTTTGACTAAGTTAAATTTCAAGATTAAATTCAGATTTGCAAGCCGCGTGAGACAACCAAAATTAATATGATAAAGTCGTGAATGCCATATATTCGACTCATCCAAAACATTAACATTGTTCACTACTTTATTACACACATCATCAAGCAAAGATAAGTGGAACAAGCCTCCGCAATCATAACCTTTTCCAACAAATGTTCCATGTCTCGACACAACACACTTATTGGACTTAAGCACAATTTTAAAGCCATCGCGACACATTTGAGAACCGCTAATAAGATTCTTCTTGATGGAGGGGACATGCTGCATGTTTTTTAATAGCACCGTCTTTCCTGAAGTAAACTTCAGAACGACCGTACCAGCACCAAAAACACGCGCATGCGAACCGTTTTCCATCAGCAAGGCTCCAGACCTGCCGGCCTGATAGGAAGTAAACAAAGAAACATCAGCACACACATGAATATTAGCACCGTTGTCCATCCACCACTCAGGTGAAAGACAAATTGAAAGAACAAAAGGTAAAAAATTACCATACCTAGATGTTCCTCCTCCAGTCTCGCTAATCACCACATTTGCTGATTTCTTTTCTTACTTATATTTGCGGTCTGGGCACACACTTGCCCAATGCTCATCACTCCCGCAAACAAAGCAACCTCTATCTCTAAATATTTGTCGCTATATGGTTTGCGTGCCTGTCAAATTTTTATTAAGTTTAACTAGATTTATAGTAAATATTATCAACATTTGTATCTCCAAATAAATTTATTATGAAATTAGATTAAATGATCTATCTAATTTTTCACAAAAAAATAATCTATCTAATAATACTCCCTCCGTTTCAAATTATAAGTCGCTTTGACTTTTTTGATCATCAATTTTACTATGTATCTAGACATATTATTATATCTAGATGCATAGCAAAATGGATGTACCAAAAAAGTCAAAGCAACTTATAATTTAGAACGGAGGAAGTACTAATTATGTAATAAATATTAATATATTTTATATAAATTTAGTTAAAGTTGAATACGTTTGACTTTGGCTGAACATGCAAGATGAACATGGATACATTACCTTCGTGCATTGCATAAAGTGAGGACTAATATAACTCATTGCATAAAATGAAAGGGCATGTAAATTAGTGGTTACAAGAACCTCAGTAGCACATCGGGTCCCAGATTCGACTCCCTATGTGAGCGAATATTATAGGATTTAACGATGTTTGTGCTTTTAGTTGTAGGCAACGTTCTTATCGACAGTAAGGCGCCTGTGGTGTGACCTCATGAATCTCGAGAAGTTGTTGACCCAGTCTTCAATGCGTGCATTCATATGGGTGAGTATGCGTACGTTGTGGGTGTCTAAGTGTAAATAACAAAAAAAAGTTATTTCCAAGGTCTCCTCGCGGTTTTATATGAGATCGAACGGCATATGCCTGTTCGAACAGATACCAGCGAGTCGTGCAATATGAGCTATTAATCAAAACTGCCAAAACACTTTATCATTGCTTTGTTCCTTCAAACAGAAGCTCTAA